GGAGCTGTCCCCCCCCCGCACACACACAGACACACACACACGCACCCACCCCACACACACACCACCTAGTTTCCCGCCGCGCCACAACAGCGGAAGGGCTGCAGCGGCCGCTAGCTCGAACGAGCAGGCGCCTCCTGCCCCCCCTGCCCTGCCCTCTGTGAACCCTGCCGCCCCCACCAGGTGCCCCATGGCAGATGGGCAGGGGAATGAGCTCCAGTGGCTAGCTCGCCCACTAGTAATCCTCATGGCCCACTTGTGGGCAGCAGAGGTGGGCCTAGTTTATTTCTCGGTTGCACGTCGAGGCCTTTTTGCTTTCCCATTGCACCCTAGAACAACCCTGGGTGTGTGTGTGGGATTTGAACCCAAGGCTCTCCCTAGGCCCCAGTATAGTATCCCGCCCACTATGTTCATCCTGCCTTCCACCCACAAAGACAGGCCAGGAGCAGCAAATAGATGTGGCAGCACCTTTGAGCCACCAGCAGTTTTCCTGCTGTGAGCGGGGGAAAGAAGCTCAACCGCACATTTCATACCAATACTGGTAGCTAGTAGTTAAGAGGTTCGGTCCCCCCCCCCGCCGCTTTCTTGGGCACCAGCCTAGCAAGACATATCTTTGGTACTGAACACAAAAACCAGCATACTGTATTATATTTTGACACTAATGCCCTGCTCTGTGATTAATGTGTTTTAAAGACCAGAGTGCACTGTTCCTGTTTCCAGATTCCAAAATTATATTTCATTTCTCTAATTTTGCCTTTATAATTGTATTATTTGGTATTTTGATGCTTTTTGTCTTTTGCCACAATTCTAGATGGTCATTAGAGAGAAAGGTCTGTCTAAGCCAAGCATTGTTTCTGTCAGCCAGCAGCCTCTGGAAGTTAATAAACAAATGTACAGTATATTAAAAAATAGACTTCCTTGATTGTTTGGTTGTTGTGGGTTTTTCGGGCTTCTTGGCCGTGTTCGGAAAGTGGTTCTTCCTAACGTTTCGCCAGTCTCTGTGGCCGGCATCTTCAGAGGACAACAAACTGTCAGTTTGCTG